GGGGAGCATGGTGTGTTGGGGTGCATGGGATGTAGGGTGCATGGGGTTGGGGTATCCTGTGTATTGGGGTGCACAGAAGATGTGTGGTGCATAGAAATGGGGTACCTGGTATTGGGATGCATTGGAAGTAGGGTGCATGGGGTTGGGATGTGCTGTGTATGGGGGTCGAGGCGCCTGGGTATGGGGTGCACGGTGTATTGGGGTGCATGGGGATGGGCTGCATGATGTATCAGGGAGCACTGGGTTGGAGTATGAGGTGTATTGGGGTGCACAGGGAAAGAAGGTGCATGGGTTTGGGGTCTGCTGTGTATTGGGGTGCACTGGAAGCAAGGTGCATGGGTTTGGGGTCTGCTGTGTATTGGGGTGCACAGATGTAGGATCCATGAGATTGGGTGGTGCTGTATTTGGAGGTTGAGGTGCATGGGTTTGGGGTGCATGTTGTGTTGGGGTGCATAGGGTTGGGGTACCCTGTGTATGAGAGTCAAGGTGAATGGCTTTGGGGAGTGTGGTGTATTGGGGTGCATGGAGTTGGGGTGTACAGTGTACTGGGGGACCCTGGGATGGGTTGCACTGTGTCACTGTGCATGATATAGTAGGGTGTGTTGTGTTGGGGTGCACAGGGATATTGGGGTGTGTGGTGTTAGGGTGTGCTTTGGGCTGAAGTGCACAGTAAGTCAGGGTTTGCAGGAAGCAGAGTGCACGGGTTTTGGGGTGTGCTGTGGTGCTGTGTATTGGGTGTGGATTTGTGATGTTGCTGGGGTGCACTGATGTCCATGGAGTATGTGGTGCAATGGGGTGCAGCAGAGTGCCTGTGGTGTGAGGTGCATGGGGAGCAGAGTCGGGGTCTGCTGTGTACTGGGGTGCATGGAAGATGCGACGTGCGTGGTTTTTTGGGTGTGCAGGGAACACACTGTACAGGACCCAGAACAAAGGGACCCACAGTGGGACTAGGGTGTGTGTAGAATGGGGTGCACAGCATGTCAGATGGGTAGAGAATGGGGTACAGAAGGCTCTGAGCTGCACAGAGAGCAGAGCACATCGGATGCACACGGTGTTGAGGTGTACTGAGCATCAGAGTCCATAGAGACTGAGGTGCAGCCTTAGGGAGAGGGATTAGCAAGAGGAATTGGGGTGTATGGTTTTCTGGGGTGCAGGGGGGGCTGCACAGGGACCGAGTTGCACATGGATCCAGAGGTGCCCATCTGCACAGAAAGAGCTTTTAACACAACAGCAATGCTACTCCTCAACATCACTTGTGCAAAATGCCCTCGGATTAAATTAGTGATGCTGAACCACAGGAAAAACACCAACGTTGACGGAGATGAACCCATTTAATGCAGGAACCAAATGAGCCATTTTGTTGTCAGCCATCAGAGGAAAAAATAATAACCTGTGCCTCCCTCAAAACAGAGTCACAAAACAATTGGTTCTTCCATTTACAGAGAGGTGACAGCACCTGCCCTGAGCAAATCATGAGACCTCAGTTCGTGTTGGTGCATGCCTGGGGCTGGCAGGACAAAACTGAGTGAAAAAGATAGATGTATACAGTACAAAAATACATAACAGAACACAGGGAATGCTCAGTCCCAGTCACAGCCCCACGTAGTTCTCCCATTTTAGATGTGCAAATGGTTTCTGGCAGTTGACAGTAGCAAATAAAGGACCCCGTGGAAGCTGAGATGCAAAAGGAACAAAGCGACCTCCCTGCCTTAAGCTCACAAAAAGCTTCAGCAACTCAGGGCAGTGAATTTTTATCCCTGCTTAACAAAATTAAGCTACGTACATTACTGAAATCTCTCCTCCTACCCGTGTTAAAAAGGTGCTTTGGTTGTGTTTTTTTTCTTTTTGGCAAACGCCAAAATGTATCTTTGAAGAACCAAATGTATCTCTGAAACAAACATGTCTCAAAATGGGGCCGGGTTCACAGAGTTTGGTATCATCCAGAGATGCTGAAAGCCAGGCTGCACGGCCTCCAGAATGAGGGGGTACCAGGAGAAAAGCTGATGGGAGAAGTAAAATGAGATAAAAAATAATAAAAAACAAAAAAGCAAAGGCAAAGGGAGATGTTGGGGTTGTACTCAAGGCGCCCACGGTGTTTCACAGCTTAGCAAGACACCCAAACTTGCTTATTTTAAAAGAAAAACAAAAACCTAAAAAGATCTTACATACTGAAATCAGTTTTCTCTTTCCATCTGGCACAGTTCATCTTCACAGTAGTGATGGCACTGGAGGGTACACAAAACACCAACAGGAAAGGGCTTTTTTAAGCAGGGTTTGCTGAGGTGAAGAGATGGAAAGAGAAAATCTGCCCAGAATTCAGATCCTGGAGTGTTTCAATAACAAAATGTTTTAAAGAATGTGATGGTGAAACCTGTCCAGGAATTATAAACACTTCTCTGCTCACAGAGCAGAGCTAAAGGATTGTGTTTCACAGTCTGTGTTCAAGTCAACAAGGCAATGACTGCTCACTTTGTCTTGCCAGAAGCCAGCTCATCATCTTTTTGAACATGAGGTGTTATTCTCCAAAAATCCACAGCACGTTGACTCCCGACAAGCCAAGGTTTACACGTCTGCAGAAACCAAGTAATCACAATCAGGTGCAAGGAAATCAAAAAGTGCCTCTTTAAAGCAAAGAGTCACGACAGTTCAGCGCTGTAACATGCAGGCAGGCACCGTGCTTTGCTCTGAGTTGTGCAGAGCACTTCCAGAACAAAGAATTCTGGAGCAAGGGGAAGCCTTGACACTGCTTTTATTTCAAGGCAACTTGCAGTGTATACTCCAAACATGCCTCGTTGTGCCAAAAACATGAGGTTATGGCTTTTGTCCCTGGCTATAAACAGCAGAGCTCCTCAGGAAAGAAAGCAACACCGCTCCTCCCCAGCACAGTCTCCATCTGCACTAGACTTCTCCTCTGTGTGTTCAAACAAATAAAACTCTATTTTTATGAAAAATCTGCTGTTGTTTCAAATGAGAAGGCAATTTGGAGATTTTTGGTGATCCTGCACATAGCAGAGGGGTTGAAACTACACGATCCTTTTCAACCCAGGCCATTCTATCATTCTATTATCACCCCAACTGCATCGGTTTTGGTTCGAGGTGCTTTCAGACAACAGGACACAACACATCATGACGACACATTACTCACCCCAGCATCCCAGATTCCTTTGTCTTTATGATATACAGAAACATGAGCAAGGTGTGGAACATGTTGTTTCTGCCCTAAAGTCACAGAAGGAGAAAGGAGCTTAGAAATCACATCAATGTTTCAGACAAGTAGTAAACACATCACAAAATGGCACTGCAGTGTTGTCAGGAGAGGGGGAAGAAAAAAAAAAGGAGGTGAAATGTTGATAAGATGCATCACAGATTGTATGACTTGGTATTTTAGATACCAATTGTCAGATAAGGAAAAAGAACACAAGATAACTGCCCAGGCTATTATTTAATGGCAGATTAAACACTACACAATGGTCAGTGATAGAGTTAAGGTTTGCTTTCTGCACTGAGCCAGCATCCCAAATCACACAAAGAACATCTAGTGATGATTTTCTGACAGCAGAACACTGGTGTACCTTGGGCAGATTGTAGACGTGGCGCTGGTAGATCAGCTCGTAGTGGGGTGGGTTGATGCTGCTTTGGTAGATGCAAAACACGTTTTCATTCGAAGTGTCTGTGGATGACAAGTTGAAAAGGTAACGTGGATTTTGAAGGTGCTGTTGTGACACAAACAGCAGCTCAGGGAGCACGCTGTGAACACCAGTACCTGGTTTGTCAGGTGTTTGAATGAAGTGCTGGGAAGTAAAGGTTTTGCCATCAGGATATTTGGGGTGAGGTGGGAGTCTGGAGTCCAGGTAAGTGCAGAACACGTGCATGATGATCTGGGTTAACAAAAACAAACTGTGGTTTAGCAGCCTTAAAGAGACCAAAGGACAACATGCAACAATACAGCAAGTTTCTTCCCATAACATTAGGCACCACTTACAGCATTTGGTTGCAGCCCTGACATAACTCTACTCTGTTCAGCAGCTCAGGGCTTAAAGTGTGGATTTCAATGGGCTGCCGTGTGGGTGGAGACAAAATTTCTTCCAGTAAATGAAAACAGTGCCAGCCACAGCGTGACAAACTGATGCTGTGTGTCAGGAGCTCAGTTCACACACAAGTAACTTTATCCTGGCGTCCTGCAGAACTTGGCAGAGCCACGGATCTTGCGAGCAGATCTGGGCCATAAAACTGCAAGCCTTCTGTTTCAGGGATGGCCCAGAAGGGCAGATGCCACCCAACTCAAGTTTTACAACACGACACCTATTTAGCAAGTTTCTCCTTTCTCCTCATTTTGGAATGAAGTCCTAGGAAGAGTACCTTACTGTCCTGCAGACAAAAGAGTTTCCATGGGCTAAAGGCCAGAGAACATCAAGTCTGAAGACTAACCTCAGAAAGCACTGCTTTGTGACATCAGATGAGGCTAACAAAAATGCACATCAGTATCATTTCTTCTAATAATTGCCTTTGAGCAATTTAATACCAACATTTTACAGCCCATGTTCATATTAATGATACATCAAAACTTCTTTCCCAGAGTTCTTAGAAGCTTAATATACGTAGGAGCTTAACATCCAACACGACCTATGCTATCTGGTTTTGATAAAAGACTGAATGTAGGGGTTGTGATTTTCTGCCTTGGGATCTTTAAGCACTTCTGAGCTGCCCAGCTTGCTTTCTGCCAACACAGTGAGAGCTCCTCTGCAGCCACTCACAATTAAACACTTAATCTTCACAACTAGAAAAGTAAATCCTGTTTCAAGACTCAAGCAGCAGCCACACTACTCCATCTCCATTCTCCCTTTGTCCGTTATAGCAAAGGAAAAGGAGAACAAGGTGAAAGGTTTTCCCTGCATTAGAAATTAATAGGCTTGGCTTGCCCCAGCAAGATCCCTACTAGTAATGCTGCTCCCCAGAGCTATCTGAGAAACACTTCATGTGAGCTCAAGAACCAAAGACTAAGGTATGCAATTGCCTTTTTGTAATCTATGCAATGTCCAAACCCATCTGCATCATTCCCCACGTAATCTCACTGACTACAATGGGATTATCTTCACAGCAATGCAAACAGGTTTTGTTTTTGTGCTCCTGCAAAGGCCTACAGGCCACCACCTCCAAAACCAATGCTGAGAGGCAGCACTTACAGAAGAGTCTGTGGGCAGGTCGGTGTCCCACTTACGGCCTTTGAAATCTCCTCCTCGGTTCCATCGGAAGGAACTCATGCAGCCTCCCTGTGAAAGCTCTGAAAGCAACAACATTTATTCTGTTACTGAGAGAGTATGGGAGAGCAGTGTTTTATGCAAGCTTCAAGGACTTCAGGCATATTTACAGTGCACTAAATAGGAAAAAATACCGGGGGAGTCAATTTACAGAGTGGTGTTTATTTTTGATGAATGGAAGGGTTAAACTCAGCACTCTGCACTCCAAGTACGTCGGTGGAAAGCAAGAAATAAAGCTTTTAAAAACATTTTAAGACAAAGTTATATCCAAGTCCTGCATCATTACATTGCTACAGAACTAGAAAATGGCAGAGAAATGCATCTCCTGCTTAAAACATGGCTCTTGTCCCTACTGTGACTGTGGGAACACCTCGAATAAAGCAGTGCCTAATGCCACCGTGCTTGGTTGTGGTCCCTGAAGTCTCTCCAATTTAGCAAAGCATCACCACACACCTTTGATCCTTTCGACCAAGTATTCCTGGTTTGGTGTAAGATCCAAATATTGCACGATAGCATTCAGGGTTGGAATGAGAGGAGCTTTCACGAGCGCTGCCTGCTTCAGGCTGCTGATGCTGGCTTCTGCAATACAAGAAGAGTCAGCACATGTCAACAGATTCCTTTACCAAGCATCGTTACAAAGAACTCTCCTTTCTGGCAGATAAAACCCCAGAAATATTTAACACATGACACAGCACCTCACTGCTAACTTCCAGGCAAAGAAAGAGCAGACAACTGCTTTATGTCACAGAATATAAAAGCCACAAGGAACCAACACCCACTTTGAAGAGCATAGAGAGTAAGCAGATGGAGATGGGGTGAGCAGTGATCAATTTTCCAGTGGCATCACAGCAGCTGTAGCTCTTGAGTGGACACCATGACCAGTCCACAATAAAAATGGACTTCATTTAAAGGCAGCAGATCAAATCCTCTCATTGGTTAAGGGGATATCAAAGAGACACGAGCAGCAGCTCCCTCAGAATTTTATCATTAAATAAAAAAGATTTCAGTTCGTCAGAATTTTATGAAGACCTTTCAGAAAGCAGCTAATTTTAAGGGTTTGGAAAAGCACTGTTCAGGGAACAGAGGCCACACCAACATGCAATAGAAACAAATGTAAATTAAGTCTGATGAAGATTAATATGACACCTATTCTATGCTCCAGCCACAGAGCAGTCCTCTGTCAACCAATGACAGGAATCTCAAAGTGATGGGGCATCCTACCTCCAATCTGCAGTTCTGGACACCCCATTCTTCTCAGTTGAGTGCTCACAGACTCAATCTCTTGAACAAGTGGCACCAGAATAGTTTCATTAATCCACTAAGAAAGAAAAAGGTGAAAATTCAAAAGGTCAGAAGTAACAAGAATACCTAAAAATATTCCTAAGTTTATGCCCAGAATATCTAAAAAATACCCCTTAATTTATGGCCCAGTCATCACTGCTGTTACAATCACAAAAATGCTGACCAACACTAAGCCACATACAGAGCATAGCAAGTGAATCACCATGAGTTTAAATGACTCAACTACCTTCTGAAAGGCCAGAAAAATGTAAAAAAGAAAACAAATTTCTAGCAGGAATCAGATAAAGTCTTTCTAAACAATGAGGGAAGTGTTATCATGAGGGAGAGCTCCTCATCCATAAAGATACGTTCTACTTTGATGGGTCAACTCCCTTCTCAGATCTGCTTCAGGAAAACAAGGAGCTGATAACCACCTCAGGAGTATTTGTATGTGACAGGATTTGGGGAGTGAAGCAAACTGGCCCTAATAATGAGCAGATGCTTATGAGTTTGGTATGGATCTCACACAAGTCTTCACTTTTCCCCTAGGTCAAAACTATTTTTTCTTAAGCAAGTAAAAATTCTTGATAGGTGGTATGACTGGAGGGGCAATCAAAGTTAGTTTTACTACTGATGCTCCCATTGTGTGCAATTAGATTCAGTCCTACTGCTAAGATTAAGATCTTTTTAATTTTTAATCACATAGCTGAGGATTGTAAGAAAAAGTCAACTTGTGGGATGGAATTTTCTTAGAATCATAGAATAGGTTGAAAAGGACCACAAAGATCATTTTGTTTCAACCCCCCTGCTGTGTGCAGGGTCGCCAACCACCACACCAGGCTGCCCAGAGCCACATCCAGCCTGGCCTTGAATGCCTGCAGGGATCCAGGGGCATCCACAGCCTCCTTGGGCAGCCTGTTCCAGTTAAATTATTTTTGTAATTTTTGGTGCTTCAGGCTCAGGAAAACAAGTCTGAAATCTCATAGATACATCTACCACCAAACCACAAAGAGGAAAAACAAATCTTGCTGCACCCAAGATGCTTTCATGTATTTAATGATGTAATTACTCAGTAATACATCTCAGTATCTCTCTTACAAGCTGTGTTTTCCTTCCACAAGCACATCCCAACCCTCACACGCAGTGCAATCCTTTCCACCTCCCCAGGCGTGCAGGGGACACACAAAACTTTTCCATTCTGCTCTGCTTGTTTCCAAAAGCCACGCAGCCCTTAGAGACAGGACTTACATTTCTGAACTTTGCAGTCCAGGAGTCCATGTGATCAAGCAGCTGTCGATTCATCGTCACTCGTGCCCAAACCTGTGGAAAGGACATCATTACACAGGAATGCCAAGAGAGTTTTTAAGCTCCAAAACATTTTCTGATGCTAGCTTCAGCACATCATTCAGATCACGTTTGTTACAGAATCCTTGTGTCTGTAGGCTTCTACTACATTGCCATGCTTTATTTGTTACAAGACCCCTGCAGGAGTCCAAATTGAGTTTTAAGCTCTCAGATCTATTGAGATAGATTTGAAAGGTATCTGAAGAGGGAAGCTGCATTGGGTTTATGTGTGAAATACTAAAAAAAGATAAATTTAATTGAAGGCATACTAATGGTGTTTCTTCAACTCAGACTTTGAGATGCAGGAGTGAAGGAGAATGTTTTATATCCTTCATATATACAGAACACACACAGTTGAACAGATGTGTTTCAAGGCATTTTTTATGCTACAAATATATTTTATCCAAAATATTCCTTGCTCTCCAGGGTAGAAATCATTTTACAACTATAATTCACATCCCTTTACAGTGACGTGGAATCTTAAAAGCTGCAGGATGTAAATGCTATGGGATTTCTAGGATTTCTCTCTCCCAAACACTTCTAGAGCTCAAATTCAAACCTTTGGATGAGGCTGTATATTTTAGGGGCCTGCTTCTCTCTTGGCTACCTTGCTGCTGAATTTACCTCCTCTGCAGCCTGCTTTGAACTCAGATCAGCTTCATCTTTGTGTGCTGATGGAGCCTGGGACCTGCAAGCCAGCTGATACTGGAACTTCCTCAGAATCTGGGCATAGTCTCCCATGGAACGGCTGTAGTTCCAAAAGGTTGGGCTGCTGGAAGGAGAGCTGGAATCTGAACTTCCTGAAAGAATAATTCATTAAGAGGTCACGTGAAATTTTGGAAGCAACACTACAGGCAGCAAGTCAGCGCAGTTTTGACAAGACATGAACACCAATTACCCTGAGTGCAGACCCTGAAATCAATCTGATTTCAACACTGATTTCATTCTCTATCTTAACAAGCATTGTATCTATGCAAGACAAAAGCAACCTGCAGGTAATTCACACCCCTCCTTATCTGCAACATCTTCTCCACAAGATACACCTCTCATCAAGGCGATTAAAGCCCCTCATCTTATCATGGTCCACAACAACCAGCAAGCACCATGGACACGATCCATCAGCACATGGCTCAGTAAGGTTGATTCTGTGGGTAGGAAGTGCTTATCCTACCCAAAGAAGTACTTTAGAGGAAAACTTCCCAAGCTCCTAAGCTATGGGTAGATGAGAAGACATAATGGCATTCTACATTATGTCTTGAATACTCAGTAGAAGGCTGAACTGTTCAGCAACCAAGTTCACAGGTGATTAACACTAATGAGTGACATCTACCAGTGCTTTCTGCTGGAGTCATTTGCAACTTTCCTCATCCACAGAATCAACTCTAACATCAAACCAGCACCACGCCTTTGCCAAGCTTTTCAAATCAAATTGTTTTCTTTCCTTACCCAACTGAACTCGATGCTGCTTCTCCTCTTCACTTCGAAGGAAGGTGTCCAACGACTTCAGGTCTGTCATGTAATCCTCTTTGCCAGTAGGAGAATTGTAGAGAATGGGCGAAGAGCGGTAACGAGACCTCAGCCCACCACTTTCCACTGGTCCAATGCTGGTGGGGTACGGAGATCCACCAGGAGAGGGGCTGAAGTTGGAAATCTTGGGCAAATAAAAGCAAACCGTTGTGTCACACACAAAGGACAGAACTCCATTCTGATTTGTAAATGACATGAATACGAGACTGCTGTGTCAGCTCTCTCTTTGACAGAGAGTTGTTGGAGAGGGTCCAGAGGAGGCCACAAAGATGATCAGAAGGCTGGAGCACCTCCCCTATGAAGACAGGCTGAAGGAGCTGGGCTTGTTCAGCCTGGAGAAAAGAAGGCTGAGGGGTGACCTCATTGCAGCCTTTCAGTACCTAAAGGGAGCCTACAAACAGGAGGGGAATCAACTCTTTGAAAGGGTTGATAACTGCAGGACAAGAGGAAATGAAGTTGAGAGAGGGGAGGTTTAGGTTGGATGTCAGGGGGAAGTTTTTTACTCTGAGAGTGGTGAGGTGCTGGAACAGCTGCCCAGAGAGGTTGTGGATGCCCCATTCATCCCTGGAGGTGTTCATGGCCAGGTTGGATGGGGCCTTGGGCAGCCTGGGCTGCTGTGAAATGGGGAGGTTGGTGGCAATGCATGTAGCAGAGGGGTTGGAGCTTCATGATCCTTGAGGTCCCTTCCAAGCCTTACCATTCTGTGTGATTCTGTGTGTGGGACACACGTGAACACAACTCTCAGCTACCTGGTGCTCACCTTCAGCAGCACAACACGAGGACACGACGACTTAACGCAAAGCTTTTGGAGATGGCTTGGTCCTTACCTTATTGTAGGTGCTGCCTGGTGAATAAGTGATGCTAGTGCTGTAAGAAGCACTGCTGTTGGACAGAGCCTGCAGCTGGGGGCTGTAACCTGGGATACAACTGGTGGTAAACTTTGGACTGGCACTAGGAGAGCGAGATGGGCTGTAACTCAGCACACTTTGACCCTGGATCGGAGGAGAAGGTGTTGAAGAAGGGACTTTCTTTGCTGTCAGCTCACGTGGTGGAGTTGTTTGTACCGCTGAAATACGTAGAAACAATCATCATTAGGTACTTTCATGAAGATGATAGAAAGAACACCAAGATCTGTAAGTCTCTGTGACTTCTGATCTTTTTACTCCATGTGACATCAGTGTAATATTAAACATAAACATTTGGAGAAGAGAAGGCTCCAGGGAGACCTCATTGTGGCCTTCCAATATTTGAAGGGAGTGTATAATCAGGAGGGGGAAAGATGTTTATGAGGGTAGACAGTGATAGGACAAGAGGGAATGGTTTTAAACTGAGATAGGAGAGGTTTAGGTTAGATATGAGGAGGAAGTTTTTCACACAGAGGGTGGTGAGGCACTGGAACAGGCTGCCCAAGGAGGCTGTGGATGCCCCTGGATCCCTGCAGGCATTCAAGGCCAGGTTGGATGTGGCTCTGGGCAGCCTGGTCTGCTGGTTGGTGACCCTGCACACAGCAGGAGGGTAGAAAAAAGATGGTCATGGTGGTCCTTTTCAACTCAGGCCATTCTATGATAAACCTGCACTACTTTGCTCCTATAGGTTACAAACTCCTCATCCAGCCTCACAGCATTTGAGTCCCTCACTATGAAATCCTCTTTTTTACTACGTGCTTCACCTCCAGTTCTACAAAAACTTGATTCTCTTAATTCTAATGTGCTGCAGGTAATTTAAGCTTACTGTTCATACAATTCTGAACTCATTTCCTCAAAGAATCTTGCACTGAAGAAAGATAACACCAGCAAACAAAACCAAAAGAACCCAAAGAAGGGCTGTCAGAGGTATTTATAACACCCACCTGTATTCTGCAGCCCCAGCAGGGTCTGCTGTCCAGGACTCATAACCAAACTCGTTGGTGCCACCGTGTATTTGAAGTACCTCCAGAAATCAAACAAAGCATTCAGGCTGAACAGAGATGCAAATGCAAGTTCTAGAATAAACACAGAAGTTTCTATCATACCACGTGGGTCGAGGAGGAAGAATAAATAACAACTCATGACTTTTCTCTCCCTCTTGCTTTTCCCTCTCTCCCTTTCACCATTTAGTTGTATTTGATACTGTAGTTTAGAGTCGACTCATCTGAAACAAACTCAAATAATTGTGATGCACACCCACAATTTAGAAAAGAACTCAGAAAATTAAATGCTGCAACAACTCACCGATATACCAGAGTGGCCAGTATGTTATGTTGTAATACGTGCTTATGAGTTTTCCAGTCCTGAAAAGAAAAAAGAAAAAAAATAAGTTGCCATTTTGCTGCTGTAACCAATGAAACACTGGAGAGCTTTGTTTGTTTGGATCAGATGTAGCAGCAAAACATACATTTCAGTATATATCATGCCTGCAAATGAGACGTTAAGGAGGCCCCAGGCCAAGACCACCTTCCGGGCTTCTGTCTCTTTTCTCATCTTGATGGTCCTGTCGATGAGGGAAGTGGTTGGACTCTGTTCTGGTGTCATGATCTGTAGCAAGGACAAAGTAAAGAGGAAAAAAAAAATCTCAATTTTTAGATGGTAAGATTATTAGTCAGCATAAGGTTAAAGAAAAAAACAGGAATCTGAAAGTCAGGGCTTTACCTTTGGGCACCGAGTCGTGCTTACCAAATAAAAAGCAAACAAACCCTGCAGATTATTTTTACTGTGTATATAAGGAATATTTTTCCATTATTTCTCCAGCTCATTACTGCAAAGCAGCGTCCTTTCTCTCCAGTGAGGTGCAGATAAGAGGAGAAAGACAGAACCCAACCTCATTTTTGAAAGATAACATCCTGCTGAAGCAAGAAGCAAAGCTCCTGTCTTCTCCAAGCAACTACAGCTCAGAAGGAAAGGATCTGCAGAATTCTGCAGTTTCTCTATGGAAAATTCCCATTCACACCTGCACACAACAGTGTTTTAAGACCAGAAAGTGGCCTCCCACGATTTCAGTATAATCTGAACACTCTCTGTCCACGTATCACTGATCTCTCTGACAACCACATGACACCTCTCTGTAAGTACAGCCCAGTGAAGCTGTCTCATGAGCTCAGTGAGCCACTCTCAGTTCTTTTAGTAAACTACTTCAGCTTTGGCTATGCTGCAAGAAAACGAGTAAGAGAAGCATTAATTGAGTTCTTTATTACGATTTAAAATAGGAGACACTCACCCAAAGGACTGGGTGCCTCAACATTGTGTTCATGGCCAGGTTGGCTGGGCCCTGATCTGGTATCTGATTGAGTGGCAACCAGCCCATGGAAGGGAGTTGGAACTGAACGAGCTTTAAGACCCTTCCAACCCAAGCCATTCTATGTAAATGCACTGATACAAGTTTTCCATAGTCACTGGGGGACCTTGCTGTATGTACTGCTGTTCATTGCAGGGGAGTTGGGTAGATGACCTTTAAAGATCCCTTCCAAAACGAATGATTCTATGAACTGAACGTTGCATCCACAAAAATCACTTTATTTGCTGTTTCATAGAATGGCCTGGGTTGAAAAGGACCACAAAGATCATCTCATTTCAACTCCCCTGCTGTGTGCAGGGTCACCAACCAGCAGACCAGGCTGCCCAGAGCCACATCCACCCTGGCCTTGAATGCCTCCAGGGATCCAGGGGCATCCACAAACTCCTTGGGCAGCCTGTTCCAGTGTGTCACCACCCTCTGTGTGAAAAACTTCCTCCTCATATCTAACCTAAACCTCTCCTATCTCAGTTTGAAACCATTCCCCCTTATCCTATCACTATCTACCCTCATAAACAGCTGTTCCCATTCCTGTTTATACACTTCCTTCAAGTAATGAAGATACATGACATCTTCCCTGAAGCTAACGAGAAGGGCCTCTGTCAGTACACTGGAGATTTCCTGGGCTCTGATGTTGCAAAACAAAGATAAAAGCTGGGGAAAGCACAGATGCGTTCAGCTTAGGAACCATTTCTGTGACTGTGGGCGGCATCAAGCACAGTGAGATTCCAATTGGTGCTGCAGCCTATTCCTGCATGTAACACAGCTGCACAGCACGAAGTGAGAAGTCCATCTCTTGGAGAACTGGAGCTGAGAAGGGCAGGGAAAGGAACGAGTAAACCCACACAGAACAGAGCATGCATGTCTGGCAGAGGAGCTGCACCACGTTCCTACCACAGACTTGTTTACTCCTATGACTCAAAGGCGACACAGGACCATGCTCACTAGCAGAATTATGAGAATAAGCTGTATGGTACATTTCCTACAATTTGAGCTCTGAAACTTCTTAAACTGATAAACACAGCCCTAAGCAGACACCTTTACTTTCCTCCCCATACCTTCAGCACCTCTGAGGGCAGCAGTTCCCCACACTCACACAGACGAGGCTCCACATCTCCCTCTCGGCCCTCACCCATCACACAGACCCGGCCCCACAGCTCTTTCCGCCCTAAATCCAGTCAGACACGGACGACCCCCATCCCAACAGGCCTCACACCCCCAAACCCTCACAGGCCCAAACAGACGACCCCCTCCAACCTAGAAGGCCCTGAGAACACTCCCAAATACCTGCTGCGGAGCGGGAAAGCCGCAAAGACACACAAGGACAACGGAAACACCGCCGACCTCACCGCGCTCCCTTCACTCAGCCACAACAGCCGCACCGTCTACGCCTGCGCGAGTGGGCGACGTAAAGTGACGTCACTACCTGCGACGCGTCGGGAAGGGGGTGGGGCATTTTGCTATGGGGGCGGCTGCTGACGGACGGTTTGGGCGGGAAGGGGCGAGTGAGGGCGCCGCCATCTTGGCGCTGAGGTGCTCGCTAACAGGACCCTCTAATGAGCTCTGTCAGCAACCAGCACTGAGAGTCACGCACAGATTCTGTTGAATTTTCAGTTTCAGGTACAGGGAGCTGACAGTGACTCTAATGGGGTGCTTCCAATAAATGGTGATTCCCCCTGAAGTAGGTACCTGAGAGTGAGGAGGAGGATTTGCCCTCAGTCTCTATACTGTGGTACATGTGGGGGCACATCCAGCAGAGTCCTCGGGAGGTGAAGCTGTGCTCATATCAGCCAGGAGCTTTGAGCCCATCCCATTAAGTAGCTTCTGGGAAAATGGCTAAATTCTGCCCTTAGAGGATGCCCAGCATCAGGTGGGTTCTGAAGCTATGCAGATCACTGCAAAGGCAGGTGGTGTTTCCTGCTGGAATGGAAGAATGGAAACCCCAGCACCTCCCCACTGAGCATCCTTGGCATCTGCAGCTGCCATTTAAGCTGCTCTGGTAGGTAGCACATAGGCTTATTTGCAAATTTGTTCACTACTAAACTTGCAAGCAGTTGTTGCTCGCCTTTTTCCTTCCTCGTTGACATTCCTCCTTCTAGGCATGTACCCAATGGAAGAACGCTGGGGATTTACAAAATGTCTTTGTGATGTTTTGTCAGAGCTCCTGCAGCACTCCAGGAATGGGACTCATCACACATAATCTCAGTATAAAGGACAGCAGTTCATCCTAGGACCCTAATGTAGATAACGGAGAGGAACAGGTGATAAGATGTGGTAAAAAGCGATAATAAGGTGCAGTACTTCTCACCTGGTCAGGTGTTTCATTGTTCTCACTGACAATAAGGGAGAATGTGTCTCCCAGCTGTCTATGTATGCCAGAAAAGAATCACAGAATCATTAAGGTTGGAAAAGACCTTTCAGATCATCTACTCCACCTTCCACCACTGTTGCCCACTAAATCATGTTCCTTAGCACCACATCTACGTGTTTATTGAACACCTCCAGGGATGGTGACTCAACCACCTCCCTGGGCAGCCTGTTCAGATGAGTAGGCTCTAAACTCGCCGTGTCAAATAGAACTAAATGGTGAAAAGTGACGAGAGGGGGAGAAAAATCATGAGTTGCTATTCCCTGTGCTCAGTCCACCTGGCGTTATAGAAATTTCCATGTTTTCTCTAGGACTTTGCATCTCTATTCAGCCTTTTTGCTTTGTTTGATTTCTGGATGTGCTTCAAAATACACTGGAATTGTTCAGTCTGGGGAAGAGGAGGCCCAGGGGAGACATGCAAGTACACATTAATTGCCTATGAAGTGAAAGGTTATTCTTTGTGTAACTGCTTGTATATCTACTCTCCATGCGAAGTACTACAGGCAGAAATACCAGGGTCTGTTCACATGGCAGCCTGAGCTCCAAAAGTTCTTTCACAGGCATCTTAAAAGCTAAGCTCTCTCTTTAATTCCGTAATATCAAAGACCTTTATTAATTACAGAATGTTTTAGGAATCCTATCATATATTCAAGACTTACACATAAGTGATTCAGAACGCATATTTAGAACACATATTATTGTACTTATGAACATACATTTTAAGATCATAGAATCATAGTATCAGAAGGTTGGAAAAGGCCTCCAAGATCATCTGGTCCAACCACCCACCCCAGTGGGTGACCCAGTGGTGTCCCCAGTGGGTTTTCCAGTGGTGTCCCCCAATGATCTGTCTTGGGACTGGTTCAGTGACAAAAATAGTGGGATTGAGTGCACCTTCAGCAAATTTGCTGATGACACCAAGCTGAGCAGTGCAGATGACACAACAGAAGGAAGGAACACCATCCAAAGGGGCCTGGACAGGCCTGAGGAGTGAGCCCACGTGAACCTAATGAGGTTCAACAAGGCTAATTGCAGGTGTTGCACTTGGGTCAGGGCAAACATAGATATATAAATACAGATTGGTAGAAGAACTCCTTGAGAGCAGCCCTGCTGCGACTGGACCTAGGTGATCTCTAAGGTTCTTTCCAGCCTAAGCCATTCTGTGACTCGATGACTTTATGACTTGGGAGCACACCCCAAATCAGAGCCAAAGGATTTAATGGGCACTAAAAAGACAAACTCTTGTGATGTCATCATCTCTGGGTTCCTCTCCAGGTGTTCCAGAGTCTATCTGTTGGACAAAGGGTTGCTGAGGAGCTGCTCTGAATGCAGCAATGCTGTCCTTCTGGAGCAGGGATAACACAAAGCTCTGTGTCCAGCAACGCAGCTCCATGGGACACCCTTCTTTCTATCTTTGGTGGTATGATCTGCAGAATGAGCTCTCGGCCTCTGACACCAGTCAGAAACCAGATGAGAGGAAATTCCATGAAGATGAGGAAGGCTTTGGGAGGATTGAAGGGGAAATCCTGTTTTGGTGCTGCACTGGCATTTTGATTATCTGCCTTCTCTGCTGTGCTTACACTCGAGTAAGATATCATTTAATGTTGTGTTTTGTGCTGACACCTGCTGGACTCCAGCAGAAGCCCATTATGAGCCTTGTGAAGAACTTCTAAGGAAGTTATTATTGTTTGTAATTATCTCAAGGGATGATGTAGCTGTTAGACTACCTTTAATCTCCAGGTATAAGTAAGCGATCGTATCTCCCTCGGTACCATTTCCATCCTCTTCTGATTATTACTAGTTAGTAATTAGCTGAAAAGTGGAAGGCATGGATTTCCTGATTTAAAGAAACATAAGTTGGATGTAAATAGCTTCACTGCAACCAGTCTTATTTCATTGGCACAGAGCTACATGGGGAGATCAATATGAGGGTTTTGATCCTAAAATGATGCCAGTGCTGTCTAGTAATGGTGAGCCAAGTACTTAAATCCTTACTCATTCTTTTTCTGGGGCATTGCTAAGGTGCCTTGTGGATTAGGAACAAAGAAGTAATCCATTACTTACAGAAATAATAGTTCTCCCAGCAGTAATCCACAATGAATTGCATTATAGACAATTGCACTGGATTAACTTAGACCAGACAGGGCAGAGTTACAGATGGAGCCTCTTTGCTGTGTTGCTGTTGCAGTTTGACAAACATTTCTATGTATCGTAGCGTGTGTTTCCCCCCTGGATATGAAGGAAGCAGTGTTGATACACTGTTCTAAAGTAACAAATGTTATTTTCCTGAAACAGATCTTCCGGAAAGCTCGAGATAAAAGGTTATGTTCTGACAAAAGGGAGAACACTTCCAAAGGTAAAGATGAGTTTTGTAAATTTGTGCATGGGATTCACCAAAGTTTCACACAAAATGCCCCACGACCCCTTGACAGAGCAGGAGGTGATGTATGGGGAGAGGGCAGAGGGGAAATGAGGGGCACCAGGAGAACAGCACTGCTTGTCCTCCTGTCTCACTCCCTCCCCTCCGCTTTCCTACAAATTGCCAAACACTTGTTTTTAGCCACAGGATGGGAGATAAGTGGGGCCACAGGTCACAGACTCCATCTCAGATGTGCTCTGAGAGCACAGTGAGAACAGATGCTTCCTCTTCCTACCCAGCCTTTACCCTTCCCTCATCACAGGAGAGACTGCCATGCTGTATCTTGGTTGCATTTTTCAGACACGGGCAATGACAGAAGGTCCAAACTTTATGAAAACAAGTGACTCCCTCTAAGCTTGATGGCTTAACTCTTCATTTAACCCTTCGCTTGTTAACGTGCCACCACAGGATTTGTGATTCACTGTGTGGGACAGCATTTTGGGACTGCGCAGAGCATCCCACTGCCCACACAAATGTGTCAGGGCCTCACATGGGGCAGCCTCCCACACATCCTCCGCCCCTTGGGAGCTGCATTTAAGCTGAGGGCATTCATTTGGTCGTTTGAGCTGCTGTGGATTCTGAGAGTTCTCACAACCTGCCCTTGGACCTGCATTGCAACTGTGGACTTATCTGGGGATCTGGACTGGCTGCTGTTGGTTGGTGTCACCAGACTTGTTTTGCTCCTCGTGTTTGGGTCCTGCGGGGCCGTGCTGCTTGCGGTGAGCTCTCTACCTTACCTGCCTTTGCTGTCACCTTTGGCTTCTGGCTCTCTGTAGTGGTACACCCCTTCTCTTGCTGCTCCATCATTTGCTCTGGTGTTCTGAACCCTGAGTGAAGCACTATGAGGTTGACTTTCAGCCCGCATAGGGCTTTTCCCATATGATTTTCCCTGGAGTTCAGCCTTGCAGGACCTCATGGCTACACAGGGAGGTCACAGCCTTCTGTAATCACCACAGTGCTTCAGTGAGGATCGGGAGTGGGTGCAAAGGCTTGGACTTAAATGCAGTGGGTGGAGGCATTAAATGGGGCTGGTCAGGGTACTTGTTGGTATGCTCTGGGCCCTGACATAATATTTGTCAGAATCTCTTGGCAGCCTTTAGCTCCATGCAGGATATAGCGTGACTAATGAAGCAAGCTGTAATCTCACCCTAATTTAAGCTTCTCCATCCTGTTTTGAAAGAGTGAATCTACAGGAGGTGCCGTGGATGCACTGTCAGTTCTCTACAGAATTTTGAAGGCTGCGGTTTGAATTTGTGTTTCACCAGAATTATTGCAGTGCTAAAAGCAGGAAATCCTCCTGGTGGATCGTGTCTTTGAGGAGAAACTCACCTTACCTGATTTACTTTGAGGGGAGAGGAGATCTGCTCATTTCCCATGGACACCGGAGACCTGTGGACTCACTGGAACCCATCTTTAGCTCCTTGCAGAGTGTGTGGTCTCCATAACATGCCCCCAAGATACAGCCATTGCAGGGTGACTAACTCCTTTTTGCCAAAACAGGAATAATCCCTGCCTGAGGCTCCCTTGGAAGAGACTGGGATGAGCTGTGCACGCACATGATGGGTAGAAGTAGCAGGGCAGGAGTGGAAATTGGGGGAGGTGGTGATAAACTGTAGAATCACTTGAGTTGGAAGGGACCCTTCAAGGTCACCTGGCCCAACTCCCCTGCAAGGAACAGGAACACCTACAGCTTGATCAGCTTGCTCAGAGCCCCATCCTACCTGACCTTGAGTGTCTCCAAGGATGGGGCATCCACCACCTCTCTGGGCAATCTGTTTAGAGCAGCGTGGGTGAGGTCTCTTTAATAAGAACTTCCTTTGAGGATTTATTTAGAGATTTATTTTCCTCAGTCCTTCACCGAGATTTTCAAGGTGGAAGGCGTGGCTCCTGGGAGGGCAATCTGAGGCTGACTGCAGAGTAGCTGAACTGTCTCTGTTCTCTCCCATATTAGTTCCCAGTAGCCCTATCTACGCATTTGACAGCACTTTCAATGCCTGGCTCTTCCTTAGTAGCGTTTATAATGGGATAAAGAAAAAGTGCATCCAACAGCCCTGCATCTCTACCTGTCACTCTGAGACAACCACAGCGATGCGTTCCTGTGATCAAAGGCAAGAGAAGCAGTTCTCAAAGCTCAGCCAGGAGAGAACCTCCAGTGTTGACAATGGCAACTCATACAGCTGGGCACCAGTGTGGAAGGCCAACGAGATGCAGTCCATCCCCCATGAAGTGAGCCATAAACAGCGTCCAGCAGAAAGGCAAAGGGAGACAAAGAGCTTTTGGATCAGGGAACAGCCCTGTGAGCATTGTAAGGCTGAGAGGCTCCAGCAGTGGCTGCACCAGCACTTTATTAAGCCTTCTGAGAATTCTTCATTAGATAAGGACGTCTGGCAAGGTTATCCAACGAGGAGAGTAGCTGCAGAGCTGAGTTCCTGAGTTCCTGTTCACCCATGGCTTCGTTTCTGCTCCTACTGTGCATTGTCTTCATGTGAAACTTGCTGCATCCTTAATTTGCATGAAGAACTGAATCCATATGAAATCACCACATCTGAAGATTGGAGATGCTAGTTTCAATAAAAAATATATATAATAGAATATATAACTTGTGAGCTGGAGCTCATCCTTCAAAATAACTGGTCTGTTCAAGTATTTTTGATAGGGTGAAATCTTTCTGCTGTGGTAGGCTACTGGGGTAGGAGAAAAACCCATGGCCAAGAATCTACAGGTAGGATTCCTTGCTCCCAGAAACAGCTGGGATAACATTAAATTTCATTCTACTTTCCTCTTCCTGGAAAAACATTTACTAGAATTCTTTGTGAGCAAAGCATTGAAAATAATTCTTTACTGGTTTGAACCTGTGTGGAAAAAAATTTCTGGAGCAGAAATTGGCCTTCTGTCTATTGGTTACCTTGAAATGCTGATACCTGTGAGAATTTAATCACATGGAATTCAGGTGTTTTGAAGAAGGGATTCCTAACAAGTCCTGTATAAATTCCCCTTTGCTAGACTGAATTGCCCTTCGCATCAACCATGAAGCTGATTTTGATCTTCAGTGCCCTCTTTGGGGCTGCCTTGTGCCTGGAAACTTTTGTTGGGTGAGTCATGCTTTTGTGCAAGACCTTTCACTGCAAGACTCTATTTTCCACTTGCTTTTCTTCCTTATCTTTACAAAATCAGCTTGGGGAACATTCTTCACTTTTTATGACCAACTTGTTCCACAGCTTTGGCTCTCCCTTGTTTGAAGGAATCCCTTTAGTTTCATCTGACTCGTTTGAGGAGAAGGGTTTAGTTGCAGAGTTGAGCTCCAAAATTCACATTCAAGCAAGGCTCTGTTGCAGCTTTGATGCAGGCTAAGGAGAGATCTCAACCAAGACCTGAAGTTGAACCTCACTGCAGCACTTGAGAGAGTTCAGATCTGACCCAGCACAGACCAGAGCCAGAAGATCACAGCCTGCCTTTAGGTCTGAAGGGTCAATAGTTTCCCATTGTTTCTGAAGGTTCCTATTTCTCTTTAAACACATAATACCCTTCAGAGCCTTTCTAAATAACTTGAATCTTTATTTCCAACCATTCTGAAGGTTCTTCTGTACGTTGCATCGCAAAATTATTCGTGATCTGTTTCCTCACTGTCTCATGGACCCCATAGGAAATAATAAAAGGAAATAATACAAAACCTGAGAGTAATAGATGTAGTGAGTGAACACTGGATTCTACTGAGTAGATCTCTACATTGAAATGTAAGGATTAAGAGAAAGAAAAATAATACGCATTATTTATTAAAATTCAAGTAACATTGTTAATATCAAGGCCAGGAGAACCTATTAATCTGATTCCTGGCACAGTGCAGACTGGGTTCTTGTGAATTCATTCCTCAGTCACATCCAGAAGTATGGTTAGTGAACCTCATCTCTTCTTCAGGGAAGAATCTAGTCCAACATAAATCATGGAGAATCCAATAGTAAGTTAAAGTGGTAAAGTGCCTTCTATGTTGACTTTATTTGGTAAAAGAATTTTACACCTCAGTTAAGCAGGTCAAGGAAACTGGAGTTAAAGAGCTTTTCTTCCCAGCAGCTGGGGTCACACTAGCAAATAAATACATGCATAATGGAGCTCCTATGTTGTTTCTTCTTTACCTTTTCTTACAATGTGATTTCCAATTCTGCAGTTACTCATGTTGATTTGCACTGAGTTATCTCCATTTTCCAGCACTGCTTGCACTGGGTGCCAACAGAGCAGCTGAGCCAGGTTAGGATATGGGGCCTCATGGGTGTTGGCTGTCTCCAACAGTAGCCTAGGGAAGAGGATGCAAACAAACCCATCCCCATACGCCACCAGCAAAGGCAGCATCAGCACTGCTCACTTTCATCTCCCTAAACCACCTGGATCACTGTGTATCATTTTCATGTTCTCAAAACCACTTAGGGACATCGTGATGGCTGCGTTGTGCTGTAGTCAAAATCAATGTCTGAGATTACCCCTGTGAGCAGCAGAGCAAGGAGCTTCCAGGAGGGGATTAACTCCACCTGGATTTACAAGCCCCTCTCATGGTAACGCAGGGGAATTTGTCAATAGCCTGACTAGACTGAGGAAAAGTGAAACAAGCCCCATATTTAGTGTTCTCTCTGCTTTGTTTGCTCTGCAAACATTCAGTGGTTCACAATTATTTTCTTCCTAGCACGTTCTTAACAAGAAGAACGAATAGATAGAGCATGAATCCTTGTAACCAATTAACAACTCATCCACACGATGTATTGTTTGTGATGAGATCTTGAGCATTCCCTTTATCTTGTTACTAATCCACTGCCCATATACCAGGCTGGTTCTGCAGGTTGTAGATTGAACTCCTGGGCAGCACTGTCAACTAAAGAAGTCAATATGGGCTGATATGGCCTAGTGGGGGTGGTGGTGGTGTGTTGTGTTGGTGGTTGGGCTGGATGATCGTTGTGGTCTTTTTTCAAACTGTATGTTTCTATGATTCTACAACTACTCAACAGATCTGTAATCTCAAGAGTAAGATCAACCAGACCCCTTCTCAGTCATAGGGTCATAGATTGTCTTGGATTGGAAGGGGCCTCAAAGGTGATCTAGTTCCAACCAAGGCTGTTTCTAATTTATTGCAGGCACCAGGTTCTCCGTATCAAGACAAGAAATGGGGAACAACTGAAGAAGCTACAGTTTTTGGAAACATTGGATCATCTTGAGGTATTTCACTGTCACAGTGGCATTATTTAACACTTCAGTCTGAAGCAGGGTTTAGCCTGGTAGGACTTTGCATTAGATCTGGAAGCTTTGCACCATGACATAGGGAGATACTGTCACAACATGTGTTTTTTAATCTGCTAGTTCCACTGTCAGCCTTGCAGTCAGGAGTGCCTGCATCCAAATTTTCTCCCTATTAGGTTTACAGTTGTATTTGAACTGTTCTTGATCTTAGGATCAAAACCCCATTGTGAAAATGGGGATGCTAATACTTTTTTACTTGTCACCCAGAGCAGTGGAAAGAATTTGTTAATCAATCTGCATTATATTGAAACAGGAAGTATGTTATTAAGTTCTCAGTTATTACTGCTCTTATTGCCATTGGTGAGAATTTTTCTTATCACTTTCTTTAAAAAAATATATTGATTTGAATATTATAGAAACTAGACTTTAGAACAGCCCAACCAAAGGAGAAATAAAAGCAATGCTTTTCATATTCTTGAAACTACTGCTCCTAAAAGGAAGAGTAGTAAAATGATCTCCATGGAAGGTGAACATTTCCTTCTGCAGGATGGGGAACAACACTGCAGGAGTTCTTCAACTTTGGAAGAAATCTGTTTCTAAACCTTTAGGAAAACTGTTGCAAAGCACACTGTCCCCCAAACCAAATCCATTTTCCCTTTTCAGCTTGATTTCTGGTTAAATCCCTCCACCCCTGCCCTCCCTGTGGATGTACGAATCCCTGCTCACAGCCTCCAGGCAGTCAAAGTCTTCCTGGAGTCCCATGGGATTGAGTACTTAGTCCTGATTGAAGACCTGCAGGTAGGCAATGCCGTGTGATCAGCTTTTAAATCCTGGGGAACCAAATATGACTTGCAGTCTGGCCTCTTTCAATGAGTGTGCAGTGCCACCGTTTCATTATTTGACAAACGTTTGGTCATAAGTTTGGAAGTGAAGCATGCTTTCCAATAATTGAATGGCTTATTTCAGGTCGTTCTCGACAGAGAAAAGCAAGATATAGTTGCCAGTCAACAAATGGAACGCAGCAGCAGCACTTTCAACTATGGAACTTACCATTCTTTAGCTTCTGTGAGTATGTCAGATCCAGATTTTGGGGAAGATTATTCTTTCTTTCTGGCCTTCTTTTTTTCATGCTGTCTTCAGTCAAACATATTAAGATTGAAAATTCCTTTCTGTCTTCTTCTGGTAGATAGTTTGGTTTTTAAATGTATAAATTTCATGGTCAATCAGCACAGGAAGCCAACGCTCCCTCACAGAGTGTTGGAACAGGCAAGTGCTGATTGTACTTCTTGCTAAACTTCAACAGAGTTCTGTCAAAGCCCCTCAGTTCTGATCTTCAAATGAAACTGAGAAATAAACGAATGTAAAAAAATACAGGATGCTGGTAACCATCCTGTAGATAAAGGGAAAATACATTTACTACCAGAAGTTATTAAAGAAGGTTTTGAAAGAAGTTTTTGAACTTATTCCTGTAATAAATGGATCTTGATCCAGGCTGGATGTGGCTCTGGGCAGCCTGGTCTGGTGGTTGGTGACCCTGCACGTAGCAGGGGGGTTGAAACTGGACGATCATGGTTGTCTTTTTCAACCAGGCCATTCTTTGATTCAGTGATGGCTAGGCAGTGCTTCTGTCTACATCTTTGATGTTGGGAACAGCACTGACTATGCTGATATAAGGTGTGGTGAGGTTTTGGCAAGACCGTGGCAAGGAGATAAAAGTGGATTTCAGCAGGACCTGCAGTTTTCTGGGCAGCACTGCACATAAATGTGATGTAAAAGGCATCGTGGCTTTTCATTTCAGATTTACCAAGAACTGGACAATCTTGCATCTGAGTATGGCAGCATTGTCAGTAAGATCCAGATTGGGGAATCCTATGAAAATCGGCCGTTGTATGCGCTCAAGGTACGGTACATCCCACATCACAGTGTGCATGTGAATATAGCGGTACTAACAGTTGTCTGGGAAGACCCAGGCAATTATAGGCCAGTCAGCCTCACCTCTGTCCCTGGAAAGGTGATGGAACAGCTGATGCTGGATGTCATCTCCAGACAACTGGAAGAAAAGGAGGTTATCAAGAGTAGTCAGCACGGGTTCACCAGGAGGAGGTCGTGCTTGACCAACCTGGTGGCCTTCTATGATGTTGTCTCTGGCTGGGTGGATGGGGGGAAAGCAGTGGATGTAGTCTGCCTTGATTTCAGCAAGGCTTTTGATGCTGTCCCCCACGACATCCTTATAACAAAGCTGAGGAAGTGTGGGATAGATGAGTGGACAGTGAGGTGGGTTGAGAACTGGCTGAGTGGCAGAGCGCAGAGGGTTGTTGTTGGTGGTGCAGAGTCTGGTTGGAGGCCTGTAAGCAGTGGTGTTCCTCAGGGGTCAGTGCTGGGTCTGGTCTTGTTCAACATCTTCATCAATGACCTTGATGAGGGGATGGTGGCCACCCTCAGCAAGTTTGCTGACGATACAAAGTTGGGAGGATTGACTGACACACCTGAAGGCTGTGCTGCCATTCAGTGAGAGCTGGACAGGCTGGAGAGCTGGGCAAATAAAAAATCGGATGAGGTTTAACAAAAGCAAGTGTAGAGTCTTGCATCTGGGGAGGAATAATGGCATGCAGCAGTACAGGTTGGGGGATGAGCTGCTGGAGGGGAGCTCTGCACAGAGGGACCTGGGTGTCCTGGTGGACGACAGGTTGCCATGAGCCAGGAGTGTGCCCTTGTGGCCAAGAGGGCCAATGGCATCCTGGGTGCATTGCACAGAGCGTGGCCAGCAGGTCGAGGGAGGCGATCCTTCCCCTCTGCTCTGCCCTGGTGAGGCCTCATCTGGAGCACTGCATTCAGTTCTGGGCTGCCCAGTACAAAACAGACAGGGATCTCTTGGGAAGAGTCCAGCGAAGGGCCACCAAGATGGTGAGGGGCCTGGAGCATCTCTGCTATGAGGAAAGGCTGAGTGAACTGGGTCTGTTCAGCCTTGAGAAAAGAAGGCTGAGAGAGGACCTGATCCAGGTCTATAAATATCTGAGGTGTGGGGGGCAGAATGGCGAGGCCGGACAGTGGTGAGTGGAGACAGGACAAGGGGAAACGGCCGGAAACTGCAGCATAGGAAGTTCTGCACCAATGTGCACAAGAACTTCTTTACAGTGAGGTGACGGAGCACTGGAACAGGCTGTGCAGGGAGGTGGTGGAGTCTCCTTCTCTGGAGATGTTCAAGACCTGCCTGGATGCCTACCTGTGTGACCTGCTGTAGGGAACCTGCTTTGGCAGGGGGTTGGACTCGATGATCTCTGGAGGTCCCTTCCAACCCCTACAATTCTGTGAACATCCATGTGTGGTGTACATACGGCACAGTTCAGCCTTGTCTGTATGGGATGATTTTACTGGATGAGGGTTTTAAATACTTTCTCTTTTGTTTGACAGTTCAGTGCTGGAAGAGGAAAGCGCCCTGCGATCTGGCTCGATGCTGGCATCCATTCCCGAGAGTGGGTTACCCAAGCGAGTGCAATGTGGATAGCTAGAAAGGTCACTTTGACAGTGATTGATGCTATTTTGTCTCAAGCATGCCTCTACTTAAAAGTTCACTGCACCTGCATGTGTTCAGCCTGCTCTGTGGACTCTCTTTTGCCTGCTCTGAAAGCCAGTCTTGCCTCTGTACACTGTTAGAGGGTAAGAAATTTGCTGATAATCACCATGTGATTATTGTTGTGTCTGCATAGATTGCCTCTGACTATGGGAATGATCCATCCATCACCTCTCTGCTGAACAACCTGGACATTTTCCTGCTGCCAGTCGCTAACCCTGATGGATATGAATTCACCCACACCACAGTGAGTAAAGTACATTGCATGTCTAAGCTGACTGAGAAAGCTGTTGTGCCCTTCCAAGCCAATAAAAGTGAGGGAAATAAGCTCTGAAAGTCCATTTCCTGATGTTTTAAGGTGGAGTTACGAAAGAAGCCAAAGATTGTTGTCTAATCCATCTTTCTCCTCCACTGTAAGTTCACCAACCTGTTGATTCTACGACTCCTTGGCTGTCAGCCCATCAGAAATATTCTCAGGCTTGTGTCTAGCATCCCTTCCTGCTGAAGGCAAACTATTTCTAGACAGCAGGGTTAATGCAAGGTCTGAGGTCTGTGCCTTTGCAGCCAAAGCGTGTCCTTGTTTCAGAACCGCATGTGGCGGAAGACCCGCTCCAAGAACTCAGGCAGTCTGTGTGTTGGAGTGGATCCAAACAGGAACTGGGACGCAGGTTTTGGAGGTAAGGATAAAGTTTCTGGATTCTAGCTGTAAGAAGAAAATTCCCTTTTGTGCCCCCGGATCCTCTTATACTGGACCAGCAATCTCCTTAATGTAAGGGACTCTGGAAGAAAATTATCAGGTAGAATGGTAGCTGTTTTATAAAGATAATTTCATGTTGATTAATTGCTAATGAGCAAAGGATGAAGAAAGTAATCTGTATCTTCCAGAACTGGTGTCCCTTGGGTATTCTCCTCTAGTATCTATCAGCACTTAAAGCTTTTGGATCATAGGAAAGCTCAGCTTAGTGTTGATCTGCCTTGAACTTCCATGAGCACCAATTCTTAAAGATTTATCTTTGCTCCCACTTTGTACCAACAGGTCCTGGAGCCAGTAGTAACCCCTGTTCTGACTCTTACCATGGACCCAGTGCCAACTCAGAGGTGGAAGTTAAATCAGTTGTGGATTTTATTACGAGTCACGGAAACATCCAGGCCTTCCTCACCCTCCACAGCTACTCTCAGCTCCTGATGTATCCCTATGGTTATAAATGCACTCCACCAGCAGACAACGCCGAGCTGGTGAGACACAATGACTTGGGCTTAACTTCTTCTGTTCTGCCCAGTGTGGCTTTCCACACTGAAGTTATCAGGATGAAAACAAGGGTCGTCCATAACAGCAACCATCCATGAGAGTGAGCAAAGATCTGGGGAAATGCAATGCCTTTAAAAGAAAAGCCGTGGTCTTACGCAAGCACATGACCTCCCTCTCCATTCTTGGCCTTTGCTTAAGCAGTAATCCTTCTTTCTGCTTGAAAGACAGCATCTCAGCTGTAATGTCTGTGATAGAGTATGAACCACTGTCATAATTGAAGTGGACAGGACTGTCAATAGGATGAGTAATTAAGAAATTGATTGATTTGGTGTGACTGGTTTTTTTTCTTTTTTCTTTTTTCTTTTTTTTTTTTTTTGTGGGAGTGAGAACAGGCTGTAAACCAGCTTGGAGATTTTCCTGAGTACAATTCAGGCTGGTGAAATCTCAACATTTAATGTGGCTACACTCTGACTCATCCTTTATCCTTCCCTCTGCAGAACACCATAGCGAAAGCTGCTGCCAATTCCATCCAGTCCCTGTATGGCACCACCTACACAGTGGGGAGCATTTGCACTACTATCTGTGAGTAATTTTGCTCTTCTGATCCCCTCTTGGGAGCAGAGCTCCTCCTGGAGAGTGACTTTGGAGCTGAGTTCTCCCATGGAAACCTCATACTTGCTCCTTGCAGGCATAAGAAGTATGAAAGCAGAACTCAGATCAACCCTCTGTTCATCCTCTGGTTTTTCTCCCTTTCTCTTTCAGACCAAGCCAGCGGAGGCAGCATTGACTGGAGCTATGATTATGGCATCAAATACTCATTTGCCTTCGAGCTGAGAGACACGGGTCGCTATGGATTCCTTCTTCCAGCTGCCCAAATAATCCCCACTGCTGAGGAGACCTGGCTGGGTCTGAAAACAATCATGGAATATGTACGAGACAACCCATACTAAAAGCAGGGATGGGAACCAGCTGTAAAGATCAGCAAGCTCAGAAATCCTCTTCCTGTGGTGTGCTGTAATCATACAGCAGCTGTCTGAATAAAAAACCTGCGTGCTTTCTGAGTGTTTCATAGAATCATAGGATCACAGAAACATTAATGTTGGAAAAGACCTCTAAGATCATCTAATTCAACCATCCTGCCACCAGGGACCTGTTGAGGGACCTGCCAACAGTATTGCCCAATAAACCACATCCCTAAGTACTGTATCTACACGTTTCTTGGACACCATCCCTGTCATGTTGGTTTCTGTGCCTTTCTGTGGGTCTGGTAGACTCCTACAAGGTGTCACAGATTTTAAGACTCAGCCAAAAGATGAGCTTGGAAAGGAGAAGACTGCATCAAAGCATCCTGCCCTATGGTCTCTTGGGTGCCCTCTGCAGCTCCATCTTCATTAATAAATGCCAAATGTGTTTGCACCAAGCAACAATTGCCCTTAGCAGCATTTTGTACCTTTATCAAACCTAACAGGTTTATCTCTTGTCCTCTAATCCCCCAGCAGCTGGTGAGTTACTCATTGCTCCGTGTGCTTGGCAGGAGAGCAAACACTCCTGATACGAGTGAGTGAAATGTTAGTTCAGACTCATTGGCAAGGCATTAAAAGTGATGGTACTGCTGCTATTGGGTTAAACACAGCTGTGCTGGGTACAGAGCAGCCTGTATCCTCCTGGCACTCATTTTTCAACCTGTCCCAAAACCCTGTCCTCCAACCGGTGATAAAATGCTGCTGGGAAAAGCCTGTTGGTGTGGAGGACCAGGGCTGCAGAGCTCCTGGATCCCGTTGAGCTGCAGGGATTCTTGCTGAAGTTGCAGACCCATGAAGCTTCAATCCAAACATCCATGTCTTGAGGTTACCTGGCCCTTCTGAAGGCATATGGCTGGAAGACTACGTCCTCTTCTGGGGTCTGCAGTACCAACAGGACCCAGAGCAAGTCACCAGGAAGGACAGGAGGACGTCTCATGATGGGACACTGAGATGGGTTTATGTGGCCTGGAGATGAAATGGACCCAATAGCAGCCCTCCCATCCTTATGAGGATACTATTGTGAAAACAGGAACACTAAGAGAGACAATGGGATCATCTGAAACAAGAGATTCAGGCTGGACACATGAAAATCTTCCACCAGGAGGCCAACCCAGCGACAGAACACACTGTGGGGTATCCATCGTTGGAAGACTCCAAAACCCAACGTGGAAGGACCTGGGCTTCCCCCAAGGCCGAGTCCTCAACAGGCTGTGAGGGCTCGGAAGGCTCCAAAATCTGACGTGGAAGGACTTGGGCTGCCCTCAGAGCTGAGTCACTGGGGAGGTGGGATACAGCCCTCCAGATATGCCATCTCATCACAGCTACACCATGATCCACCTCAACCAAGACCTCAATCCTGGCACCACAGCTGGGACCAGCTCACAATCATCATCACAAACACAAATAGGGTATCCTAGCTAGGAACCTTGTGATTTGGTGTTCTGAAGCCATAAAAGACCCCCAGCTGTGGCACCATCCCCTGTCCCACCCTGCTCCCACGGGAGCACGTCCTCACCGTCCGTCTGTGGCAGCACTGGACTTGAAGGAAGATGTTATCAGATCCTTCCCCGACTTGGCTGCTCTTTTATTGACTTCTCCAAATAAAACAAACATTTGGGCTCCCGGAAGCCTTTGCTGGCTTATCTGCTTGTGGCTAGTGGCCCTGTGGGGACGACAGAGCTGGCCTTGGTGAGGGACTATATAGGTGCCCATATATGCATTTAGGACCAAAGGCTTACCAGCACCTGGTCAATATGAAGGTCCTCCTGGTCTTCACTGCCCTCCTGGTGGGCACCTTCAGCGAGCAGCTTTTTGTGGGGTGAGTCTTGCTGAAAGCAGCAGTTGGGATAGGGATGGGATGGGGATATGAATGGGAATGGGTTTGGGGACGGGGATGGATCCTACTCACCTCATGCATGAAGAAAAAATCCGTTTGGGTGTTTCTTTCACTGGTGGTGGGACCTCCAAGCATTCCCCAGGGAACTGAGACACATTTGGGGTCACATTTGAGATCCTCCGGAGAGCTGTGCTTCAACAGAGCAGGAGCACATCACCTTTGGCTCCATGTTAAAAGCAAAAAGCTCTGCTAATGGGTTTTATTTCGTAATGCTAATCTCTGGAAATCCCTCCCCAAATATAAGTTATTGTTATCAAAGTGTCTGCTCTGTTGTTTCACCCTACCCTTCTGCCAAAGCCAAACCTGCCTTATTTCCTACAATTTTAGATGCTCTTGTGATCAAAGGAAGGCATGAGACCACCTTGAGCTCCCTCGTGCTTATTTTTTTTCCCATGCATGTTCTGAAAATGCAATTTCTAAGCCAATAAGGACCACTCATACCATCCCCTTCCTGTCCCCTGCACCCACTGATGTCTCTACCATCCACTAGGGACCAAGTCCTCCGTGCTGTGGCCAGCGATGAGGAGCAGATTGCCCTGCTCAGGGCACTGGGTGAGCAGGTGGACCTGCAGGTGAGACCACCATAATATCAATTTTTACTAATTTTTATTTTTTTACTTGAATGAAGAAGCTGGGTTGCTGTGGGGGAGTGAATCCTGGCAAGAAATTATGTCAATGGGAGTAACAGATAAATCAGTGATAGGGAAGAGACTCCCTGCCACAAATCTGATTTCAGGTTTATCTTTACCAAAAGATTAAAACTGGCACACAGTGACTCCATCATCTCATTGCAGCTGCTCAGTTCACAAATTCTCTTTATTCAAAGATGTGTCCATGAGTGATTTGGGCTGAAGTATGTCTGTAGAAAAGGCCCATTGAGTAAGGTAAAGAGCCTCCCAACCCTCCTGGTCCCTAGGTTTGTCTAGACATCTTTTTGACCTTTGAAGACAGTAGGAATGGAGAATGTTTCATATGCTTCAACGCAGTAGAAATTGAGAACTTTGTAGAACTTTCAAGGCAATAGGAGTGGAGAACATCTTAGATCCTTGAAGACAGTAGGAACAGAGAACTTCCTGGATCTTTCAAAGCAGTAAGAATGAAGAATTTCCTAGATCCTTGAAGGCAGTAGAAATTGAGAACATCAGATGCTTCAAGACATTTGAAATGGAGGCTTTCTTAGATCCTTTACAGCAGTTGAAATGGAGACCTTGGATCCTCCAAGGCAGTAGAAATGTCTGCTCTTGTCCCCACCAGGTTGACTTCTGGCGCGACCCCACCAAACCTGGGCGCCCGGCTGACCTGCGGGTGCCCTTCTCCAGGCTGCAAGCGGTCAAAGTCTTCCTGGAATCCCATGGCATTTCCTACAGCATCATGATCGAGGATGTGCAGGTAGGGTGGTGGAAATGAGGGGAAGAGAAGGTAATGGTGGACAATGCTTTGCAAAACCTACACATGGGTTGGAGATAGTGGGTTTTGGAGGCAAGATGCAGACTGCATTGGGGCTGGGTAGGATATTTCTACCTGAAAACTTTCTCTCTAACAGCACTTACTGGATGAGGAAAAGAGAACCATGATGCTGTCCAGGCGGATGGAGAGAAGTACCAACAAGTTCAGTTTTGCATCCTATCACACTGTAGAGGAGGTACTTTGTTCTGCATAGTTTGTTTTGTGTTTGTGGAACCCAAAGCGTGGCTGTGTCCAGGGAAGCTCTGCATGTTGTGTCTGGTGCCAGATATCCTAAAACCCAAAGGTAAGCTAGGATCAGCTACACATCCCAGCACCTCCTCCTTTCAGATCTATGACTGGATGGACACCCTTGTGGCAGATTACCCCAACCTCGTTAGCAAGATCCAGATTGGTGAAAGCTACGAAAAGAGACCCCTCTATGTGCTGAAGGTGAGTACAGGGCCAACCTCTTTTCATTCCAACCAGATGCTGGAGCACTATGGAGTCCCCTCCTCGGAGTTCTCCAAACCCTCCTGGATATGGGGTTGGGCACAGATCAGATGGACCAGCAGTGCCTCCAACCCCAATCCTTCTGTCATTCTGGGAGCCACAGGGCTGACATTCCATTCTCTGCACAGTTCAGCACTGGGGGATCGAATCGGCCAGCAGTCTGGTTGGACACTGGCATCCACTCACGTGAATGGGTCACCCAAGCTACTGGCGTGTGGACAGCCAACAAGGTAACCCCATAACATGGACATCGCCATCCAAGTGGGGTGGGGAGTGTCTGAGTGAATGAGACATCACCCAAATCTCACTGACATGAAATAGCCCACCATCACTGCATCCATCCATGGCAATAAGCTTGGGCATCAGCTGGGGCTGTACCTGGGCTCCCAATCCCAATTTCTTAAATAAAATCCAAACAATGGCACCAACCTCATTCCAAACACATGCATGTGTAGGCCGTGGAAGAGAGAGAAAGGGAAAAAAGGGATGAACAGGTTTTCAAAGTCAGGGGTTGTAGGTTGCAGTCGGGTTGGGATTGTAAGCAGTGGGGACTGTCCATGAAGGTTTGGGTGAAGGGCAAAAGTTGCAAACCCAAGCCATCTCCATGGATGCTGTGGTTGAACCCAATTGGGAAAAAAAAAAATCCTACAGCCTCTCCAGTTCTACAGTCCTTTGTTCCTGGGACAGTGAGACAGCTCCCACTCCTCTCCCAATACAGCTTGCTGAAGATTATGGCCAGGACCCCACTGTCACCTCCCTTCTGGACACCATGGACATCTTCTTTGAGATTGTTACCAACCCCGATGGCTACGCCTTCACCCATAGCACTGTGAGTGCGGGGACTATGGGGTTACGTATCCCAGTGGTTGGTTCCAGCCATTATGTCCAGCAGTACTTTTTTGGGTGGCATATGTGGAGTTGACTCCATGCACCTGTGGTCTCACATAGAACCGTATGTGGAGAAAAACGAGGTCTGTCAACGCTGACTCCTCCTGCATCGGTGTGGACCCCAACCGAAACTGGGACGCAGGCTTTGGAGGTGAGGTATCACTCACATCAAAGGCTTGAACCTTCCTGCTGCTGGGGAGAAAC